GGGCTTGCAAACTTCTCTTACTTGGCTCTCTGGTTAGTACTAAACTGACTGGAAAGGTGTTTAGTAAGAAGGCAGTCAAGGCCTTGACTCCTCTGATCTGTACCCTACCATCTCTGCCTTGCAAGTATCCATTCCCTTGGTAACTAAAAAAACATCTGAATGGAGAAAGAAATAACATCAGAGCCAGAAAATCTTCAGCTCGTACCCCTGCTTCTCTGCCAGGGCAGGATCTTTCCTTCATGTCCCTTTTTCCATTGTTCATTTTTAATTTAGTTCTTGACAGCTCATGCAGTAATCTCCCACCTTCCATTTGGTCACTGGTATTTTCAGCCTATCCCCTTGTCCTCACGAGTTACTGCTTACTGAAGCCAGACAGATTTAGCTCTTCTAATCTTTCCTGGTGAGTCAGTGCCTCTGGCTCCTGAACTCCTGTGGGTCTCTTAAATGTATGTGCTGTGCAAGTACCTTCTCTTTTGTTGAGGTGTTCCTGGAAGAAGGACACACGGGGTCGAATGTGATGTCTATGTAAAGACATCTCCGAGGATGGGTGTGAGGGGCTTTCTTTGGGGATTAGGAAGCGCAGACCTTCGTGAGACATGGTGAACCTTTCACTGGAATTTCCCAGGCCCTTGCAATCTGTAGTTTAGGATTTCTGGACTGTTCATATTCTTGTACTAAACACAGTACATCAGGAGTTGTCTGATCTCTTCAATCCTCTTTATACATTCTAGTTCCACAGTATTTACTGGCAATAAATTATGTGATTTACTTGTGCTTTATATTAAAACACATTTTTTTAAGCCTGCTTCTGAAATTTCTTTGGGGATCCCTAATTCCTTTGTTGTTACAAACATGGTATATTCATTTTCTATAAAGTTATTAGTGGCATTAATAGGTAAAAAGATGTGTATCCCTCCTCCTCCCCTATTTGAAGGCTCTTAGCCTCCCCTCATGGAACTATTAACATTTTTACTGTCAGATTTGGAATAAGGTGCAGTTCTTGGCAGAACCTTCCTTCTTGGTTCTTCACTGATGATTAGCAGAGGTACTTGACCTCTGCTAGTTCTTAGCTTGTGTAACATACACCTAAAACCAGCATCACATGCTGTCAGTGAGAATGCCTTGTGCTAACAAGCTTCAGGTTTTACGAAAGTCTGCTTGTTAAATCTTTACTGCTACTTTATCAGACACATTTGGAGTCTTGTCAAAGAAAGAAATAGACATGTGTTTTGTTTTTTTGAGAGACCTAATTTTCATACAACTCAGCTGTTTGACATGAGTGCTATTTCTGTCTGCCTGGTAAGAGGCATGCATGTTCTTCAGTCACTTTTCTGGGATTGCTGCTAGGATGATGAGTTGATAGTTATGGGCATCATCCTGTGTAATCTCATAGTCTAACAGCACAATGCAAATGGTATTTCAGGGTATCGAGATTCCAGAATTTTATAAATGCTCTATAAGCATATCAGAGATCTCAGTCAGTTCTTAGGACTTTTGGGTGCAAATTATCCAACCCTTTTCACTTTTAGAATGATTATTCCTTATTGATGATACTAAATGGACTCTTCAGCTGCTGGTGGAGTAAAGTGTGATTCATCACCTCCATGCGATGTGTGCAGCACGTCATGCTTTTTGTCCAAATAAAATCAGAAGTATTTATCGCGTGTTTGCATTTTCTGTCATTGTTGACAATCCATTCTCATTTAAAATAAGTTTCAAGTGATGTAAATGTGGGGATTAGACACTTAGATGCCTCCAGATGTATAGCAGTTACAACAAGATGCCTATGTGTGCAGAAACTTGCTGTCTTCTGGAAATAAAGCCCATGCCCTCATGTTTTTCTGGAGGAACAACTTGGTCTTTCAGCAGGTTCTGAAGTACGACAGCTCCGTGCTTTGGCAGTTGGAGCCTGTGAAGGTCGAATTGGCTGCCTCTGTGTCTGCTGGGCCCCTGCCAAGAGCAAACTGCAGAAATCCTTCGCTGGCAGGCGCAAGGCACAGCATTGAACAGTTTTAGTTGGGCAATACCCAGATAACCCCGGCTGCTTCTGAGAAGTAACCCTGTCCCCGTTCTGGGTTCTCCAGAATGGTTCACATTTACTTACTGCAGGTTGGAAAATCTTGCAGGATCAAGTGAATCTCATAAGAGATAGCTAATGTATGAAAAATAGGCTGAGATGGAATCTGTCCTTGTTTGAGTGTTCCCTGGAGATGTACAGGCAGAAACACAGTTGGCACTGAGGGGGATAGAGGAGAGGGGAGGGAGATACAACTGCTTCCGTGGCTTGTACTTGAGTGCCATCAGTGATAAATGGGTTCCTCCCAAGTCTCTATTTCAGGGAGGTGACACCTCTAGGCTGAAGTGGCAAATTTTTCAATTTCCCCACTTTTCTCCATCCCCAGTAGCACTTTTCCATGGAGGGCATGGATGCTTGTCTGTCTGGGAGGAACTAGGAAGAAACTCTGGATATGTTGCCCACTTGATGAAGGTTTGCCCTTTCTGCAAAGGAAGGAACCAGAATCAGTTGAGCAGCGTGTTTCTAGGTGGGAGGTATCACAGATCAGTTGTGATGTCTGAGATGAGCTATTGCAGGGTGGTGGATGGATCCCTGGTTCTAGGGGGGGAAAAAAATGCAAGAAGAGGAAAAATACCCAGGAAGGTCATTGCAAGAGTGAGCGCAGGGGTGCAGGCTGGGCTGTCCCTGCTGTCACCACAGCTGTTTGCTGTGTTTCCAGTGTCAGTTTAGACATCGGGGAAGTCAAAGGAGCTCTGAAGCAGCCTTATGACAGCTGCGCTTTTGGGAAGAATTAACTTAATGGTTTAGTGCTAAAAGCAGTATCTGGGCTGTAATGTGAAATACTGAATATAAAACTGAAAGACTATCATAGGCTGCTGATCTAGTTCCTTCTTTCTCGGGTTCATAATCATGTCAGTTACTCTTTTCATAGTCTTCGAACATTCACCAGTTCAGTTTCTTACCACACTATTTTTATGGTAGAACTGATTTGCTTTGGGAGTTTGAAATCTTCTTTCCAGCCTAAATATATTTACATCCAATTCAAGCCCATTTGCTGTTGTTCTAGCAGTGTCTTTTAAGCTTGATTAGGTCTGGTTCCTCTTTGGTGTTTTGTTTGTTCAATGTGTGTTGATAGACTTAAGGTTCTTAACCCTCAGCCCAGTTGACTTTTTCTGGCAAATATCCCCGTATTTTCAGTCTGGTTTCTATGAATTTGTGAAATCTGTGGGTTTTGTTGTTTATCTTTCAGTTAGTTTATATAATCAACTTGCTGTACAACTGAAAGTGACTTTCTGTAACCAGTGACATTGTATATTCCTCCTTCATTGTCAAAAATAGCAACCCTGTCCTATTGATTCAGGCACTGAGTAAAACCATCAACTGTCTGACTTGGAAATACCTGGATCCTGTTGTCAGAGTACTCTGTAGTCCTTGTCTGGAGACCTAATTTTCCATCATCTTGAGAAGTTTTTGTGTTGGATATAGATACAAGTATTTAGAGCTTTACTAAAATCCAGTGAGAGAGGAAGAAAAAGAAGTGGTATTTGTAGTTAGACCCTGATAGACTCCTTCACGCAAGAAGTGTTAGTGTCATCTGTAAGTGGCTTTAAAGTGTGCTGTCGATGACATGCAATGCTATCTCATGACTGCCACGTTTCTCTGTCTCACCTGAATAATTCTTGTCTTTCAATACTTGGATTTTACTCGGGCTCTTGGTTTTGCACTGGAGACAATGTGCTTATGGTCTGTGTAGAATCAGGGATTTCCAGATCCCAGCAGCTTTCTGCTACGCTATTGACTGGGCACCAAAGGAAATGACAAGGAACCTCATTTCAGTTCTGCATTTCCTGTGGTGGTTTATTTTGGTTTTGTTTTAAACTTAGTAGAATGCGAAGCTCCAGAGGCTGTTGCTTCTGTCATTGTAGGAAGCGAAGAAGGATTTGAAGGGAAGGGTTAAGGAAAGCAAGTGTCCTGCTGCGTTTGCTGCCCACACTGTGACCCAGCGTAGGCCAAGTGGACCTGATGTTGAAGCTAGACACCTCTGCAGCAGCCGCTCTCTGTTCTGGACTTTGTTTCCAGAGAAGTGACATCTGGAGGACAGAAAATTTGGTTCTCTCCAGGAGTCTATGTACATTTCTGTCACTTACCTCACCAGCTCCTTGGTCCTTGGCCCTGACAGATCCCTGAAAGAGTCTTTATCTGTCCCATTCCTTTCCCTATATCCTACCACATGCTCCCTGTCTTCCTTCTCATGACTGGGCCAACATGAACAATTTATGCTCGTATCCTAAATATAAACAATTTCAGTTCAAGTTTGAGCAAAACTTCTGTTATTGGAAGCAGACGTAATTTGGTACGTAGAGGTGGGAGACAGGAAGGAGAAGAGACTTCTGGATTGCACAGCTACAATCCTGAGCATGCCTGTGCAGAGGTGAGAAGAGGAAGGAGTCAGCTGGACAAAGCAGATGGCTTTTCTGGAATCACACATTGATTTCCATCAACAGAGCAAAGACAAGTATCTGTCCAGGGTATTGTGGAAGAGGAGCCATTCTTGTTACCGCATGCTGCGTTGGGGTGACCCTTAATCTCCCAGTAGTTGTATGGAATTACACCCCAAAAGGAGCTGGGCTGGGATGTGAATGCTATCCCTGTTTCTTTATCTACTCCTATCCTACTGCTGCTCAGTTTACTTTGTGGTGGACATCTCGTTCTGATGTGTTCATTACAGGCAAACTGACGCTGGGTTGTGAGATATGGTTCAGGTCTCAACTGTGAAAAAGGAGATGTTTGTGTAAGTGTATTGTGACTTTGGTGCCTTTGAGGCGTGGGTACCTCAGCTTACACAAATTTGTGAGCGGATGTATGCAGATAAAGTTGATGCTCTGGTGTTTGTTCTTTAAGTAGTCATCCCTTGCTCTTCAGGATGTTTTGGGTGTTCTCCTGGTCTGCACTGACCTGTAACCTGTGTCCATTCTGCTTCCAGTTGACACTGACTATCGTGCGGCAGACGGGGGGGCTGGGCATCAGCATCGCAGGGGGCAAGGGCTCCACCCCCTATAAGGGTGACGATGAGGTAAGACCCTGGACTGTATCATTATTGAAGCACCCACTTTCTACTTTCTCTGTAGCTGGAAGGTGGGTGTCCATATGTATCAGCTTTGTGGCTGGGATGGGCTTTCAGAACAAGGTGGGAGCAGCCCTGGACCCACCTGGAAGCCAGAGGCTGGCAGGGCTGAGCAGACTCTTGCCTCTGGAGCACGACTTGGTGTCCCTTCCTGCTGCTGACCACAGAGAGCTGCAAGGAGAACTGCTCTTTCTTTCCCATCTGTGTTCTGATGCACAGGACTCATAAGGCAAAGAATACGGGGTTGTCTTTCACACGTGTGGTGGCATCAGCTGCATCATGTTCTCATCCCACTGGAAAAGGATTAGTGTCATTCCCTTCTCCGCTTTGTCACCTGTGGGGTAGCCCTGCAGTGGGATTTCTTTCACCTTTCTACCAAAATACCTGAATGGGGTGATGTGGCTGTCCTGTCCCCACATCCAGGGTACGGGATTCACGAGGGATTTCCTTTTTCCCTTGAGTTGAACAGGGTGGAGTGGTCTCTCTAGACTTTAGAAAGTTGAGGAATGGGCTCCACCTCTTCTAACAAGTAGTTTTGTTTGCAGGGTATCTTTATTTCCCGCGTATCAGAAGAGGGTCCTGCAGCTCGTGCAGGGGTTCGCGTTGGGGACAAGCTTCTGGAGGTAAGAACTTGGCTACCGTGAAGAAATGCATGCTTCTTATGACTTGAGAGTAGAGGTAGAAGTATGGCTTGGTATTTCTGTGCATCACTCTAGTTTGTAGGACAAATTAAGCATCAGGAGCCGTGCAAGAGCAAAATAAAATTTGCCTGGCTCAAGAGCTAGTTATTTAATTAACAATACTGTTCATCTTTTGCTGCTTTCTAAGGACAGAAATTGCTCCTGCGTTCACTCTCTCCCGACTCAGAAGGGTTGTGTAACCCAGGTGGGAAGAAATACTCAGCAGTGTGTGCCCACGTCCCCAGCGGGCTGACCCACTGGGCTCTACACTGTGACTCTACACAGCTGCTTTCCTCTGTGCAGCAAAAGTGGACCTTGTAAGATAACTTCTTAACCAGGGAGCCAGCCGTATGCCCTACTTGCCTGTCTTCACATTATTTAAAAATGTGATTAATCATACAGGATTGAGGTGCACTTGAGGAAGGATGGATTGCATTATGGAGGGAATAGATGTTGCTACAGTACCGGACAGAGATCAGAGAATCAGGTGGTCTGTGTTTGGGGCACTGGCCTGTGTTTGTGTGATCTGATGTGGTGTCTCTAGGTATCATAGAATCATAGGATGTTGTGAGTTGGAAGGGACCCACAAGGATCATGGAGTCCAACTCCTGTCCCTGCACAGGACAATCCCAACATTCACACCATGGCCCTGAGGGCCTTGGCCAAATGCTGCTGGAATCTTGTCAGGCTTGGTGCCATGAGCACCTCCCTGGGGAGCCTGTTCCAGGGCTCCACCACCCTCTGCCTCAAGAACCTTTTCCTCATGGCCAACCTCACCCTCCCCTGCCACATCTTCCTGCCATTTCCTCTCCTCCTGGCATTCGTTGGTGGCCAGAGAGAAGAGATCAGCATTTAGGCTGAAATGGAGGAAATAGATTTGAACATCTAGTTTTCAGGCTGAGAACCAGACAACCTTTCCTGTAAGCGTGTGTTAATATGAAATGAGGTAGCTGCTACGAAAAGATTATTCAGCTTCATGGGCCCCCACTTTGTGTTTCCTCAGTCTTCTGATGTGCTAGGACTTTTTTCTGAAATCAGGGAGGCAAGAGCAGAGGGAATCAGGCTGCTTCCCTGAGAGCTGCAGAACCTGCTGTCCTCCCTGCAAGTATTTTTACTGTTTTTGCATGGAGGGGAAGGAGTTGGGTGTTTCAGGGTATGAGGAGGCAGATGTCCTTCTTGAAGGGGAACAAGAAGTTGTGTCGATCTGAGTTGTACTGAGATTTGTTCGGGGAGATAGTGCTAGGTGAGTGGTTATCTGTCTGGGAGTTTGTTGCCTGCAGGAACGATACAGGTGATAGGGAAGTTAGAGCTCCCTGTGCCGGGAGAATTCCTCTGTAAGGACCTTTACTGTGCTTCGCAGGGGCTGCCCTGGCCTGGGACCGGTGCTGTGGGAGCCTCCTGTGCTGTGTGAGTGCAGAGAAACTCCCTTGCAGGCAGCGAGTGAGGTCTGGGTACCCGTGTGAGAACAAGATGTTGGGCCAGATCTGCAGGGGATGAGATGTGCTTCTGTTAGGCAGCATTTGCTAAGGCTGCAGCTTCCCAGCAGAAGTAACAGGGCCACCAGGATGATCCGAGGGCTGGACCTCCTCTCCTATGAGAACAGGCTGAGAGAGTTGGGGCTGTTCAGCCTGGAAAAGAGAAGGCTCCAGGGAGATCTTATAGTGGCCTCCCAGTACCTGAAGGGGCTACAAGAAAGCTGGGGAAGCACTTTTCATAAGGGCAGTTAATGACAAAACAAGGGGAAATGGGTTTAAATTGAAAGAGGGGAGGTTTAGATTAGATATTAGGAAGAAGTTCTTCACTGTGAGGGTGGTGAGACAGTGTCCCAGGTTGGGCAGAGAAGCTGTGGCTGCTCCTCCCTGGAAGTGTTCTCGGCCAGGCTGGATGAGGCTTTGAGCAACCTGGTCTAGTGGAAGGGGTCCCTGCTGCTGGCAGGGGGGTTGGAACTGGATGAGCTTGAAGGTCCCTTCCAACCCAAACCATTCTGTGATTCTAAGGATTGTGCCTGGCTCTCTCTATCCCCAGGTGAACGGTGTGTCCCTGCACTGTGCGGAGCATCACGTGGCGGTGGAAGCTCTGCGTGGATCAGGAAGCTCCGTCTCCATGACGGTCCTGCGGGAGCGGATGGTGGAGCCGGAGAACGCCATCACTGTCACTCCACTGCGCCCTGAGGATGACTACAGCCCTCGTGAGAGGCGAGGTGGTCTACGCTTCCCAGAGCGACCTGAGGGAACACCTCCCACAGAGAGATATTCCACCTGCCTCATGCGCAATGAGAAGGGCCTGGGCTTCAGCATTGCTGGTGGCAAAGGCTCCACACCCTACCGGGCTGGTGACACGGTCAGTAATGATTCTCTGGAAAGGAAGGTGCTTGGTCCCTGAGTCTCAGCACTACTTGTGGGAGCAGCATGGGGTCTTTGTCACCCATGAGCATGCAGCTGTGCAGTCTGGCCCTGGGCTTGTGAGCTGGGTGGGCTCTGAGAGCCAGAATCTACTCTTAAGTCAGGAAAGGAGAGAAGTTCAGAAGGAGGTGGGGCTGGGGCTCACAGTCCCTGCCAGTGACATTCAATCTTGCTGCTGTCCTCTTGACATATGTTCTGGGCTCTCAGCCACGTGAAGGCTTTGATGTAGCTGGAGGTTTTGCAGGTGGCTCTAGAAGCAGAAGAGGGTTTGTGTGGAGTGAGGAACAAATGGGAAGTGCCAGGGGAGGGGTCTGCAAAAGGGAAAGGGCTGAGTCCTGCCTGGTGTCCAGGAACGACTCTGGAAAGGCAAACCCTGGTGAGGGGAAGCACAGGCTGCTCTGACCCTTCTGACTGTGTTTCAGGGGATCTTTATCTCACGGATTGCAGAGGGTGGTGCAGCCCATCGGGACGGGATCCTGCACGTAGGAGATCGGGTCATCTCGGTGAGTGTGCAGGGAAGGGATCTGACTCAGCTCCCTGCCCCTCCTCATAGAGGAGCTGTCTTTTCTGTCATTGAAGCTGGATTTTGGGGGTCCTTTTTTCAGCTCCTGAGCCTTCTGGGAGAGTATTTAAATTGTGGTGATTCTACCCCTGCCTGTGACTAGGTGGTAGGTGCAGTTAACACCTCCCCTTCCCCCAGCACAGTGTCAGCGCTTCCCCACAGGAGCGGCACGTAGTGGTCCAGGCTGTGCTGGAAAGAGATGATACAGCAGCACTGCCCTAGCCTGGTGTCCCTCCAGAGCTTTGTAGGACAACCTCTGAGGGCTCTGCCACAGCATGGCCTGTGGGGAGGGAAGCCCTTGGGGGCACAGCTGGTGGGTTCCCTGTGGAGAGCAGGGTGGCAGGGGTCAGCATAGGCTGCTGGAGGGTGGTGTGGAGCTGGGCAGGGTGTACCACAGTGCTTCCCTCTGCTTTCGTTTGAAACTCCAGCCTCAGTTCCCTTCCTGTTTGTGCCAGTGGTTTAGATCTCACTGTTGCCTCTAACCTCGAATCTCTCTGCCTAATGTGTCACTTGCTCCCTCTCCTGTGGGGAGAGTCTGCTGAGTCTCCTGACCCTCTTCCCAAGCTCGCATGCTGCCTCCGAGTGAAAGCTCCTGCATCCTGGTGCTGGTGGTGGGTTTCTGATCCAGCTGTTGTGGTAAGAGCACGTGTTACCACAGAGCTGGCGTGAGTAAACACTGATACAGCCTTGTCAGTGCTGGCTTCTGTCTGCTCTATCCCTAGGCTGGGGGCTGTGTTGTATTTGCTCTGGCACAGGATTTTAGTGGAGCTCTGGCCCGGGTCTGACATTCATATCTTGGCAGGAGACTTGAACTGGTACAACATCTCTCCTTCCTTGCTAGTGCTCCCCCCCTCCTCCCAGAATCAAGCCCTGACCCTAATTGTTGCCAGATAGCATAAATTATTTTGGTTTTTCTTATCTTTTGATAGTACAGAGGCATGACTGAGAGGCGTAATTGCAGGCACACAGCCTGTTGTGTGGAGTTGGTTTGCTCTACCTGTAGCAAGAAGGAAACACAAGATCTCAGAATAGAGTCAAAACTCAAACCTGTCTCCACCCGCCGTTAGCAGCTCTATTTATATCTGTGGGCAGCTTCATAGGAAAAGCAGATCTAATTCCCTAGTAATAGCTTGCAGTGTCTTCAGGCTGCAGTGTTTGGGCTCAGGGCTTACAGAACTCGGGGACTTTGTTAGATTTGAATGTGGCTAAAGGCCTTGCTGTCGTTATTCCTCTGACACACCCCGCTGCAGTGACGAGCACAGTGTTACTGCCTAGGTAGGAAATAGGTCACAGAATCAATCGTAGTGGTTGGAAAAGACCTTTAAGATCGCAGAACCATGAACCCAACACTGCCAATTCCACCTCTAAATCATGGCCCTCAGCACCTTGTCTGCCCATCTTTTAAATCCCACCAGGGAAGGCGACTCCACCACCTCCTTTGGCAACCTGTTCCAGTGCTTGAATACATGGTCCTCTGCTCTCAGGGATGTTACCTGTGCTGAAGTGCATGTGCTCATAAAAGGTTTGGTGCTGAGCATCAGCTGCAGCTCACATCTTGTGCTCTGTTATGATTAGAGCAGGAACAAATTATTATCTTCTGGAAGAACACTTACCTAGTGTGGACTCTTCACATAACTTCTGTGCCTTCCAGCATGAGTCTGACTGTTGCTTTTCCCAGCAGCCATGCCTCCTGGCAGCAGCTGCCATCCTGCCTTTCCTGCTTGTGGGGTTCACTGCTACGTATGATACCCAGGGAGTGGTAATGTTACATCCTGAGGCCTCTCCTATCTTCTTGGTGATATTTATACTCAAGAATTATCTGCTTGCTGTAAGAGATTCATGAAGAGGTGCAGATGTGTGGGTTTTGCTCTGTCTCTGGCGAAATCTGGTGCTAGGTTAGAGCTGTGGGGCTGCCCTGGCCCAGTGATACTGGATGCTGAGAGAGTGTCTGCTCACTTTGGAGCAGTGCCCACATAGCATTGTGTAAATTCCCTGTTGACCACGACTCTTTTGAAGCGGTGGTTTTCTGTTTTTATTGGAAAGCTTTCTGGGATGTGGTGATTCCTCGGATGTCCAGAGCAGGCTGCATGTGTTCCCCTGCATGGGGAAAGCAGAAGGACCCTTGTTGGAATACAGGCAGTTTCATAGGTCCAGCAGGCAGAAGCCCATTTCCAAAGCTATAGTCTCCTGGTCATGCCTCTGTTCTCACGTTGCCAAAGAATTTTTGTTTTCTTAGGAAAAGAAATACAGCACAGCTTCATACTCTTCCCCTGTGCTCTAAATCATCCTGGACTTCTCTGCAGGGGAAGGACTGGGATAGCTCCTTTCACTTTATTAAGGGAGCTTTGAGTACATGGATTGAAGAGCCCAGCCTAGATCTCTCTTCAGAGATAACACCCCACAAAACTCACCAGTGATTGAATACTAACTCTCCAGCTTTCCTCATATTCTAGTGTGTCAAGAGTCATCACAGGCATCTTGAGAGTAATTTTGGTAGTGGAAGACACAGGGCAGGGAGCTGCAAGAGGGGAGTGTTGGAGAGTTTGAATTGTGGGATGGGAATCTAGCAGGGAGAGTGCAGGATTGGGAGCGGTGGCTAAGGGCAGCTAGTTTTTTGGGATGGGACTGGGAGCAGACTGAAGAAGACTGATTCTGGGGGAGATTTAGGACAGTAGTAACAGCAGGAGACACATTGGGGGTCCTAATGAGAGCAGCCTGGTCACTAAGAAATCTGACAGAATTATATAGTTCCCTGGCACACAGAAAAATATGTGGAGCTGGGAAAGGACAGATGACACTCTTCCCTTTGCTCTGGGCACTCAGATAGGTGAACTGCTGTGGCTGGCCTTTTCCCTTGCTAAGCAGAGACACAGCAACAAAGGCCACTGAAAACTAGCTGTTCAAAATCTGGGAAGGCATCACGAGAGAAGTTAATGAGTAAAATGCCATCAAGGGCTGTTAGATACGATACATCTCTGACTCAGGGAGTACCTGTGTCCCTGTGCACTAGTCCAGGGAAGTACCACTGGATACTTTTGGTCTGACCACGTCTGACCATTCTCATCTTCTTGTCAGTGGCAGAAAAATGAGAGGAATGCATGAAGTCAGGAGTGCATGTTGCTACAGCAAGTCTGTCTCTAGAGTGTGCTGGGCCTTGATCTGGTGATAAGAACCTAAGGACCAATTCTCTTCTGCATGTCATCTTTGTTAAAAATCGGTGTGTCTGGCAGACAAGAGCACCCAAGGGGATCCTCGCTTCCCAGTCCACTGGACTCAAGGCTGCTACTTTTCCCCATTCCCAGATCCAGCCATCAGAAAGGCTGAGTGGAGATTCCAGAGATGAAACAAACTGCAGACACGGCTGGCCACAGATTTATGCAAACAGGGAGGGGAGCAGCACCTTTACAGGTGCACACATAAACACAAACAGTCCTGACAGGGCATGGACAATGCAGACAACTTAACCCTGCTCCTGCCCTCTGGCTAATCAAGTTTAAGGTTTGCTAGTGGAAAATGCACATATATTCCCTCACTCAACTCATAAATATTCATGTTTGCAGGTCTCTTCAGTCTCTGGCTCGAGTGTCAAACTCTTCAAGGCTCTTTGGTCAGACCCTGAGCCTTTTACCCAGTTTCTGGGCCAGCTGTCAGGTCTTTCCACATTTTGGATTCCTACTTGCTGACTAGTTCAACTTGAATTTTACTAGTAGGTCTCACACACGTACCCAGAATAGAGAGCAAACTTGTGCAGCAAATACAAGCAGAGTTTGATAAAAAGGTAGAGCAGACTGTGGTGCTCAGGCACAGGGCTTGGCCACACAAGCATACTGGCCAGTAGCCTGCTTGTGTGTGATCAGCCTCTTTTATTCTCCACCCTCTCCATTTTCCCGTGCTTGTTCCTCCTCTCCCTGACCACTCCCCTCTCCCACCTGTGATCCTTCTGCTAAACATCCTGTAATGTTTTGCATGTTCCCACAATCCCCCTTAAAACTTCCTATAGTAAATTTACTCTTTCCTGTGAGAGCTGTTCCGATAACCCGTGATAATTTTGATTTCCTCTGCATATTGATTACCAAGTTTTTGGTCCCTCATGTGTTCGTGGAAAACAGTTGCATCCTTTTTGATCCTTTGAGTTTTGAGGCAAGCGGGTTTATATCTTAATTTTGTAGGAAAGGCTCTCTGTTCCCTTGTCTGTCTTGGCAGCTTTTCTCTGCACATCTTGTTAAGTTATGTTAAGATAATTGTTTTGTGTGTGAAAGATGAGTTTCCACACAGTTTTTCAGGTGAATTCTCTTCAGTGCTTTGTGTGAATGACATTGCTGCTTCCCTGCATGTACTGGAAGTACCTCTTTAACTGGAGCATTCTATCCTTCACTGGTATCACAAGATGACTGTAGTTGTATTCTTGAAATTATTTGACAGAGCCTATTGGATAACGTTTTCTTGTCCAAAAGAATTCTAGTTTTCCTTTTGTGTCAGCCAGTCAGTCACTGTGTACTAACAGAATCTCAGTGCTTCCAAGTCTTTTTATACCTGGGGTGCACTTTTTATGGATTAAAGCTGACATCTTCCCCAGACTGCCCTGACCTTGCCCAGCATGTGCAGTCAGCAGCCTGGTGGCCCATGACAGGTCCTGATGCACCGTCAGATCCTGCTCAGCAGAGCCTGTGTCTGGGCTTTGAGGGTGATTGATAAGGACAAATGGCCTAGTGTGAAGGCAGCTGATGCTACAGCACTTCACTGTGCTGGGGCGTCACTTCTGGGAATCGCTGTTTTGTGTTCTTTCCATATTGAGATCTTTAGACCTGTTCCTTTAATGCAACCTCTTGGGCTTCTTTTGTCATGACCCAGCAGGAAAGATCGAAGGCAAAGCCAAGAGGGAGTGACAGGCTCTCTCCTGGTCATGAGTGAGCCGCAGCATAGTCTGGGCAATGGCTAGGTTTGCCGTGCTCCAGGAGGTGGGGCATGGTCTTCATGGTCCCCTGGAGCATCACTGGTGCTGTTAGGGCTTGGAGGTGTACAGGGAAGGTGGGAAAGGGGCTGGTAAGCTGTCTACAAAGAGGATTGTGGTCAGGTGGGAATGAGCAGGTGCTTGTGTCCCTTTGCCAGCTAGGAAGGAGTGGGGTAAGTTACAAAGTGCTCTGGGGAACAGGCTTTTGAGAAGGGACAATATTGCAGCAGAATGGGGTCCCTTGGGGTGCTCGGCTGAGTGCTTACAATGACAGGCTGTACTCGGGTGATGGTCTGACACTGAGTTTGCGGGTTGTTCTAGATCAATGGGGTAGACATGACAGAAGCCAGGCATGATCAGGCAGTAGCGCTGCTTACCGCATCCTCCCCCACCATCGTGCTGCTGGTAGAGAGAGAGGGTGCAGAGCAGCTCAGCGAGGGAGACTCGCCTGGCGTGCCACGAGTGCGCATGCACTCCCCACCACCACCCCCCAGCCATGGGGAGAGCCCGCCGGAGGAGACGCCTTCGCTGCAGAGGAACCATCTCTCTAAAGGCCTGGAGGATCAGTATCCCATTGAGGTGAGTCTCTCTGTTGGAATATGGGATCGTGTAATCTTGAGTCTTCTTAATTTGAGAAACGGGTAGTCTGATGAAGGCTGGCCCACTGTGGTGATGGGGCATTGAGAAGTAATGGGGAACCCCCTTGTCCTGTGGGTGTTTACCTTGTGCTCACTCAAGCAAAACACGCCTGACTCCATGTTTTTCAGTGTTTGTGGTCCTAATGTGATATCCCTTATTGTTCCCTCAAGGAAATTCACCTTGTGAAAGCAGGTGGTCCCCTGGGACTCAGCATTGTAGGAGGCAGTGACCATTCAAGCCATCCATTTGGGATTCATGAACCAGGTGTCTTCATTTCAAAGGTAGAGTCCTGTGTGAGCAGCCTAGCAGCGGACGTTCCTGAGCTGTTTAATTATTGGGATTAAGATGAAGGATTTTGACCCAGCTGGGGTGCTTGAAGATACAATTTAGTAGTGGACAGGTATGGTTGGACTCGATGATCTCAGAGGTCTTTTCCAACCAGGCGATTCTATGATTCAGTGGAGAGAAGGACTCTTCCCTCTGTTGCCAACAATCTCAAGCTCCCAACCTTCCCCAGCCTGGGAGCCTCTGCAGTTTAGAATCAGAATGGTTTGGGTTGGAAGGGACCTTTCAAGGCCATGTAGTCCAACCCCCTGCAATAAGCAGGGACATCTTCAGCTAGATCAGGTTGCTCAGAGCCCCGTCCAACCTGACCTTGAATGTTTCCGGGGATGGGGCTTCTACCACCTCTCTGGGCAACCTGTTCCTGTGTTTCACCACACTCATCGTAAAAAATTTCTTCCTTATATCTAGTCTGAATCTCCCCTTTTTTCGTTTAAAACCATCACCCCTTGTCCTATCGCTACAGGCCCTGCTAGAAAGTCTGTGCCCATCTTCCTTATAGGCCCCCTTCAAGTACTGGAAGGTCTCTAGAAGGTCTCCCCCGAGCCTTCTCTTCTCCAAGCTGAACAGCCCCAACTCTCTCAGCCTGTCCTCACAGCAGAGCTGCTCCAGCCCTCTGATAATTTTTGTGGCCTCCTCTGGACGCACTCCAACAGATCCACATCTTTCTTGTACTGAGGACTCCAGAGCTGGAGGCAGCACTGCAGGTGGGGTGTCAGGAGAGCGGAGCAGAGGGGCAGAATCCCCTCCCTCCACCTGCTGCCCACGCTGCTCTGGGTGCAGCCCAGGACACGGTTATTGACCTCTGGGCTGCGAGCCACATTGCCAGCTCATGTCCAGCTCTTCATCCACCAGTAACCCCAAGTCCTTCTCTGCAGGGCTGCTCTCAATCCCTTCACCCCCCAGCCTGTATTGATACTGAGGATTGCCCTGACCCAGGTGCAGGACCTTGCACTTGGGCTTGTTGAATCTCATGAGGTTCACGTGGACTCACTTCTCGAGTTTGTCCAGTTCCCTGTGGATGGCGTCCATGTCCCTCTGGATGTCTCTTTTAAGCGCAGCCCCTAACTGACCCTTCTTCCATACAACATGGGATTTGGACTCTTCTCTCTGCAGGGTTTCTGCAAAGAGCCTGATGCTCTCCTGCTATGCAGTATGCTCATCTCATCCTGTAACTTCTTCTCCTGCCAACTTGGTGCCTTTATCAGAGCACACCTTCCACTGTTGAGGCCATCAGCAGCCTCAGGGAGAGGTTCCAGGCACTCCCTGTAGCCCAGGACCCTGAAAACTGTATGCTTCCTCTAAAACACCAGGGATACCCTGGGTAGTGCTGGGGACTTTACTCTGTGGCATATCAACATCATCCTTGCACAGTTTCTGGGTTCCCTTCTGCTCAGCTTTTTTGGGAGCAGAGAACTGAACAATCCTGGAGATGTGGGTGATTCTGTCTGCCTTGGTCTCAGTTCCCTTTCTGATGATGGCCAGGATTTTGTTGGCTGGTTTTTGTCCCTTCCTGCACGTGGAGCCCATGATTTCAGAGAACATGCAACAGTGTCCCTAGGAACTTTCCTGAGTTTCTGAGTTCAGTGTCGTGTGTCCATGGTTTAAGGTGTTTTTCCATAGACCCATTGTCTGTGCTGAAGTCCATGCCATGTCTTTTTGTCCCGTTTTCTTGACCCCTTTTGAAGTTCCCAACCACCAGGGTGGTATTTGGCTGCTCAAAACAGCACAGTGTCACCTGCAGACCTGGAGATTTCACTGTTCACTACCTTTTTCAGGCCACAGATGGACATGCTGAAGAACACTGGTCCCACATGAATCCCTCAGGCACCCCAGCAGTGAATCTTTTGTGTCCTGAGTCGCAGCTGTCCCGCCCTGCCCTTTGTTTCCTCTCCTTTGACCAGCTGTCAGTCCATTAAGATGACCTTTCCTCCCATCCAGTGAACACGATGTCTCTAAAAACCCTAACCCTTTAGATTCAGACCTTGTCAAGGGAAAATCCAGAAGTTATGTGTACCAGATTCTTTCCTTCCTTCATGTGTTCATTATTTCTCTCACAGAGCTTCAGCAGGTCAATGGGGCAGGATTTGCTTGTACCAAAGCCAAACTAACTCTT